TTCGGTTTACTGCTATGTTCCCATTGCCCAGAGTGCCCGGCATATTACAAGAGTTTAATAAGTACTTGTTGAATAAATAAATCGGTTAGGGCAGGAAGGGAGACAGGAACTAAGAAGGTGAGTATTCAAAGCATGAGACTTTGTACTTTATATAGACTATCTCCTGCATGGTGAATATTGTCCCCACATTATAGGTGAGGGAATTGAGATCTTATGAGAAAACCTTGCCCAAAATTATGCTGTCAATAATTAGAACTGATTTTCAAAGAGGGGCCTTTCTGGCTTCCTTCTCACCATAATGCTACCCTTCAGAAAGCAATGTCACAATGACTTGGAGGACTTCAAGGGTGGGGCTGCTGCTTAGCAGCCAGTCTGAGTTACACCCTTCATCTTTATCTGTTCATGAGAGTGGTGACTCATGGAGCCATTGTTGAATGAGGGAAACAGGTCAGTTCAAAGGCCCTCCGATGGGGACATCTGGTACAGAGCTTCTTGGAGATCTTCAAGGTCCAAGCCATCTGATCCACTTGAGTACATGAGTGACAAAATCCTGCCATGGATCACCCAGCCATTTCTTTGGAACTTTGCTAATGGTAATCATGTTCTTAAACTCTAGTACATCTATGAAAACTCATTCCTTCGGTATGGGAGTCTAACTGGAAAGAGAGGGGGTATGCTTAGGATTACATAAAAGCCCTGATCCAGGCAGGGCAGGGGGCAGTGCTCTTCTCATCAAGTCCTGAGCCTTGATAAGAAGTGGCCCCCATTTAGATGAAAGGGCAACTTTTTTTTTTTTTTGCACAGAGGTACTCTGGGAGTTACCTGTGGTTCTGGGCATGGAGATGGTAGATCAGAAGTGCATTAACTTTTGTTAAATGCCAATTATAGGCTAGTCATTTGCTGTGTAAGATTTGTCTTGTATTATCTCTTAAATTCCCATGGCAGCCCTAAGGAGGCAAGAAATAATTTGTGCCATTTTATAGATGAATCAAGGCTAAGTAGCTTCCACAAAGTCATGTAGCTAGTAAATGACACACCAGTACCTGCTGGAAACCAGTTCTGAAAGTCTTCAAAGCCTGTGTTCATTCCTCTACCACCAGATGAGAGAGGCTGGTACTTAATTTTGTACAATTTTTATTTGATTCCTTTTTATGTAGGAGTGGGATTTAGAAAGTTTCTGTTCCTCTCCTTCTTTCACCTTCTGAAGACACATCCATTCTCTAGATCAGAGGTTCTCAGTCCTATTCAGACCCAAGTCCTGCTTTGAGTAAAAAATTATTTTGTAACACCCCTTTTATTATCCTAATTAAATTCATGGATAACATAACCTGCCACGCATAATTTCATAAATAATATAATGCCATAATTGTAAAGGAGAAAAATAATTTCTAATAAAATAATATGCATTTCAATATATAAATGCTCATATGTGACTACTTTATAAGACAATGAAGTAGTCAGGCTCTTGCACCATATAATAAACAATGAATAAGCCTAGAATTAAGAAAGGAGGTTAAATGTTATCTCATACAAGCAGTTAGGAAAATAAAAAAGCAGATTTATAAGTGGATGCCAGGACAAAGACCAGTGTTAAGAAAATTAATAACACTCCAGACTTACTGTTTCCTGATAACAAAAAGAGGTGAATAGCTTTAGTTACAGTAGGGATAATACTCAACTAATTACCAACCAGTGAAGTAAAAAAAGGAAAAGGAGTACAACTATGTTATTTTTGAAAAGAAGTAAATAATGTTAATGTGCTTCCTCTAGGATTACCAGATTTTTAAAAATAAACTATTTTATTGGTCTATCATGCATACCAAAAAGGGCCCAAATCATAACTGAACAGATTAATGAAATATGCAAGGTGAACTCCTCAGTGTAAGCAGTATACCCAGTCCAAGAAATGGAACACCATTATTACTCCAAAAGCCCTTCTCATGTCCCCTCTCTTTTACTGCTTCCACCCTCCTTAAAAGCTACCCCCATTCTAACTTCTAACACATAAATTAGTTTGCCTATTTTTGGATTTATGTAAATGTACTCATGCAGTATGTAAATGTTCATGTCTAAATTATTTCATTCAACACTGTGAGATTAAGCTAGATTGTTACATGTGCAGGATTTTTTTTCTACTCCTTTGCTATATAGTATTCCTTCAAAAGAGTATTGCACAACTTGTTTTTCCATTCTACCATTAATGGGCATTTAGTTGTTCCAGTTTGGGACTGTTTTGATCATGTTGCTTTTAATGTTCTTATACATGCCTTTGTGGTGCACATTTGTATGCATTCCTGCTGAGTACATACCAAGGAGCAGGACTTATTAGGTCATAGGGATGTCTACTTCAGCTTTGGTATAAAAAATTTTGAGGTGAATGTATCAATTTCTATTTACACTAAAAGTGTATTCAAGATTTCCAGCTGCTTCGCATCCTAGCATCACCAAGTGTTATCTGTCTTTATAATTTTAGCCATCTTGTGGGTAGCTCATTGTGGTTTAAATTTCTAACTCCTTTATGACTACTGAAGTTGAGCACTTTTTATATGTTTACTGGTTATTTGGATATTCTTCTTTCTGAGTTCCCCATTCAAGTATTTTACCTATTTTTTATTAAGTTGTTTTGTCTTATTGATCTGTAATAGTTGCTTTATATATCCTAGATCAACACTATCCAATGTCAATATAATGTGAGCAATGTGTTTAATTTTAAATTTCTAATAGCCACATTAAAAAAGTAAAAAGAAACATGTAAAGTTAATTTTGCTACTGTTTTATTTAACCCGATATATCCAAAATATTATCATCTCAACATGTAACCAATACAAAATTAATGCGGTATTTTGTACTTTCTTTTCATTCTAAGTCTTTAATTTCTGATGTGTATTTTACACTTATACAAATCTCAATTTAAATTAACCACATTTACCTAGGTGGCTCAGTTGGTTAAGCATCTGCCTTCAGCTCAGGTCATGATCCCAGGGTCCTGGGATCCAGCCCCACATTGGGTTCCCTACTTCTCCCTCTGACTACCACTCCCCCTGCTTGTGCTCTCTCTCTCTCTCTGTGTCAAATAAATAAATAAAAAATAAATTAATTAACCACATTTCAAGTGCCCAATAGCTAATATGGGTAGTGGCTCATACATTGGATGGACACTGCAGGTCTTGATGCTTTTGTGCTTATGTCTTCCTCCATATCTTGGCTTACTTTCTCACTTTTCTATTGGTATCTTTTTTTAATTATTATTTTAAAACATTTTCAAACCTAAAAAAAAAGTTGCAAAGACAGTACAAAGAATGTTCTTACCTATTTACCCCAATTCTTTAATTGTTAAACGTTACTTCTCCCTCTCTCTCTCTCTCTCTCTCTCTCTATATATATATATATACACACACACACATCCAGTTGACCTTTGAACACATGAGGTTAAGAGTGCTCACTCCCTGCGCGGTCAAAAATCTACCTATAACTTTTGATTCCCCCCAAATTTAATAGTCTACTGTTGATAAGAAGCCCTACAAATAACATAAAGAGCCGATTAACATGTATTTTGTATGTTATACGCATTATACACTGTATTCTTACCATAAGGTAAGCTAGAGAAAATAAAATATTAAGAAAATCGTAAGAGAGAATACATTTACAATGCTGTACTGTAAAAAAAATCTGCATATAAGTGGAACTTTTCATTGTTTCTCATCTGTCTCTTATACTTTTTCCCCTGTATTCTCTGTCCTTTTGCATCTCCAAGCTTCAGGTCTGAATATTTTCTTCCGATTCAATTCCCAGTTCTTTAATTCTTTTTTTCAGCTTTTGTAATCTGCTGTTAAACTCATGCCTTGGGTTCTTACTTTTAGAGATGGCACTTTTTATTTGTACAATTTTTATTTGATTCCTTTTTATGTAGGACATGTGACAGTGCACTGTTTGATGGGACAATGTGCTGCAGGGTGTCCAGCCTCCCTGGCCCAGTGACCAGGAGCATCCCCTCAGTAATTTTTAACAAGCAAAATGCTTCCTCAAGTTTCCAAAATATCCTGTAGGATTCAGTATCACCTTTTTTGGAAACCCTACATTAAATGTGTGAAATCATCCCTGCAGACAGTTCTAGGCCAAGGTGTGTGTGGAGGGTAGCATGGAGCAGTCACACCCTATGTCTGCTGCCTCCCACATCTGATAACTCCTAAAGCTATCAAAAACTCAAGAGAAAAACAGGTTGGTGTTAATATCCAGGACTGGTAAAGGTAAAGAAGGTAAAGAAGTCAACACACACCATGACCTTTCTTCTTGGGTTAGGATGGGAGTGCTCCTGAGGGGACTGGGTACCATCTTAATAATAACCTCTTGCAACTGCCACCTGCCAAGTACCAGGGCCTGATTGCTTTCATCCCGTTCTCTCAATCCTGCCGTTACCCAATAAAGAGGAATTATTATTCCCAATTTGGAGATTAGGAAACTGGGACTTAAACCTTTAAGTGACTACCCAAGATTTTACAACTATTAAGCACTTCTGTGATTCCTCTGCAGTCCCTGCCCCACTCAAGATTTCCAACCCTTTTAAAACCTTGTGCGTGGAGCGCCTGGATGGCTCAGTCTTTAGGTGTTCGGCTGAGGTCATGATTCCAGGGTGCTGGGATTGAGCCCCGCATCGGGCTCCCTGCTCGGTGAGCCTGCTTCTTCCTCTCCCTGCTGCTCCCCCTTGTTGCGTTCTCTCTGTGTCTGTCAAATAAAATCTTAAAAAAAAAAAAGAAAGGAAAGCCTCGTGCGTGCCACGTTTAGAGGCAGGAGGGGGCACCCTGCAGAAAAATGGGTCTAAGAGGGGCCTAATAGGGAACCGTCTAGGCTAAGCTCCATTTAGTCCCCAATTCCCCTGCTGTAGGCGTTGTCCTGGAGCCCACGCCACCCGCCATCACTGCAGGCGCTGCGTTTTCCTAGGTCCCTGATCCTGGCAGTCCAGATTTCGGGGCATTCTGAACCCAGCGTCCCTCCCTCTTCAGCAGCTCATTCCCAGTGGCCCAGCTTCCAAAGCCCTTCTGCTCAATCCCTCACCCGCGCAGCTGCTGTAGCCGCTGGTCCAGCAAACCCCCCACCTGCACCCAGCCACAAAGTTCACCCTGCTCTCCGCCCGGGACCAAGGGGTGCGGGAGTCCCGCCCCACTGCGCAGGCGCGCGCGGAGCCACACCCCTTGAGTCCCCTGCGTTCCCTTAGCAACGCGGTACACAAATGCTTGCCTGGCCACCAGCGCGATGTGTTTCGGCAAAGCGGGTGCGCTGGGCTGGGATAGAGGAATCAAGGGTAGAGGGCAGGAGGAAGAGTGGGGAGGCTGGCGGGCGGGGGGTTGCAGTCCGTCCCCTCCACGGGGTTCGGTCTGGTTTTTGTTCTCAATTGGGCCCCAGTCCCGTCTCGGCCTACCCACAGCCCACGCGCCCCCAGAGCGCTCACTTGGACCCAGGGGCCTTCCTCATGTGGAGTTTCTCCTCTTTCTTGATCTTCAGAGTTGCTGGTTAACTACCCCTTTGGTACACGTCAACAGAGGAAGCTCTTTCCTCACCACCACCCCCCAAACTTGTTGGGGAACAAGTTTCTTCCTCTCCGAGGAGCGCCCCACAGAGGGCCAGGATGTTACATTGCAGAAGATGTGAGTATACACCTTCCCTTGGGTGGGTCTCAGTTCCCTGACTATCTGCGAATACCCAGGTTCCATGGAAGAAAAATTCGATGGAATTTGTGATCTTTGGGGTGACAACATGAGAAGGTGCCCTGGTCCTCTGCAGCCAGCTGTCAGATCCAATGTAGGAAATTAAAGGACCCTTGCTCCCCACTTCCAACACCCACCATACGCAAGCCTTTCTTCATATAGTCCTCTATATTGTCCCCACTCCATTCCCACCTTCAAAAGCCTCCAAACCAATGCCTCCCATTAGTCCAAACTGGGAATGTTGCTGTGCTGCTAGATCAGTTTATGAAATGTCATCAGACTGAGGGTGGGATTACGGCAAATTCAGCTCTGTGGGGCTTACAGGACTGGATTCACTGGAATGCACCAGAATGTCATTTACTCTACCTAGCCAGCCACATTTCTTTGCAGACTGGTACACCTGCCTTGCTTATATAATTGTTTCTATGGTCTTCACTCGGAGGAGTCAAAAAAGAAAGCAACTTCTACAGAAGATTCAGATAAGAACAATTTGAGTTCACTCTGTTTTGATGACTATAATATTCTCTGTGTATTTTCTTTCTTTTTTTTTTTTTAATATACTACCTGAAGGTATATGGATTGGCATACAACCTCTCTAAGATCCCGACCAGTAGAAAAGGATATACTTTTGGTGCCAGAACAGCTGAGAGGTTTAAGGAAATCAACAAGGTTAGAAATGGCTTGAGTGTGCTTAGATTTTAGTGTGATCCACGTTGCTGCATGTATTTGCCTCGGGAAGCAAAGCGGGGAGATCGGAAAGTTACCGAAAATTGTGCCCTGAAATTCAAGAAAAATATTTAGACAAACTCTATGAAGAAGTCTATCTGAAAAGCTTGGGTGTTAGCATCTCAAATGTGTGTGAGAGCCCCGGGAGCGTGGAAAACAATTCTTCAAAGAAATGGTATCAAGACCGGGCTTCAGGGCTGACACAGCTAACATTAAGTACCAAAGCTTTGTTTCTATTATCTTGCCACTTAAAAAACAAATTGCTACTTTTGAACCCTTTTGTGTGATTGGATTTCAAGTCTAAAAGTCTTCAGTATAGGATCCTAATCTGTTGTTGGATATTTTTCTGACAGTGGAGCTCAAAGAGAGGGGTACTGGCTCTAAAAAAATCTCTGAGTGGGATGGTGGGGGCAGCAGGTGCAGCAAGTCACCTTGGTCCTTTAACTCCTGCAGATCTCTTTCTACAGCCCCAGCTTATGTGCCTTTAGATAGCTGAACCTCACACTTATCTTGGATTTCTCCCAACTGTAGCCTTATATCTATAGCTGGGGTGGTGAAACTATAGCTGATACAAGAAGAGAAAGAGGATGAGTTTGTTTTCTTTAATTAGAGGCTTTATATGTATATATATATATAT